GAGTCACTGTTCACCATGTGAAATGCAGGACAAGCCAAGATGCTGCTGGCCCTAGCACTCTGGCCTTTATGTAACTCTACTGACTTATTATCTATCTATCCACGGTGCCATCCCTCTATCCATCTTATATTCTAACGCATTGCCCAGAATTAATCTTTAAGCCGTTTGAAAGAGAAGTTGTCAGTAAGATGGTTTCATTAAAAGGAAGTGGACCACAGTCTCCCTGAGCTTACTGATGAAGACCATGGACTTGAAAACCTCAGCGCAATGGCAGACATTTATAGAGAGATGGTGCTGATGTAGGCAGGCGGATAGGGTGGGCCCCTTCCCAAGGCAATGGCAGTAAATCTCCTGGGAAGCAAAAGCCCTGATGTCATGGAGAACTAACCGGCACCAGTCCACCACTCTGTGGCAGACCCTGCGGAGGCTGGATGCCTACAGGGATGACAGCAGAAGAAATAGAGATCAATTAAGGACCAGAGAGATTAACCAGAAACTCCAAAGCTGTTCCTTTGACACCTGACTAACAGGAAAGGAATTTCAAAGAAAACTTATCACCACTCCCAACCCCCTTGGTAACCTCCCTAGCAGCGGACTTTGACCTAGGTAGAAGCCCCACCTGGGGGCAGGTTGGAGAAACCCTATGAAGGCCAACTTGAACAAAGGAAACACGCGCATATGCTGCCTGAGCACATATGTCGCCTGCATCTCCCCTCTTGAGACGTGTACTTTCATGCTTTCATGTCTAATGCTGGGGCGTGTGTAGGGCTCTCTCCACCCTTGGAGAAGCCCGGGTTCTCTCTTGACCACGTTACTCTCCACTCTCTCTCCCACTTTCTCTTCCTCCTTCCCTTCAAAACCTCCAAATAAAAACTGTGTCCTTTCACTGCTCGTCTACTCCTGAAATTCCTTTCTGCGAGGTGAGACAAGAACCCAGTAACCTGGGTCCCGGATGGCAGAGGCGGATGGGATGAAAGTGACCATCTTTCTCCTCCCTGCTTCATGTAAGTCTCACCCGTGGAGCCCACCGACATCAGCGTGACCTCAGAAAGCTTGGTCAATCCCAGAGAATCACCACCCTTACGGGTCTGTGTTGGTAACGTTGAGCCCCAAAGATAAAACGTGCCCATGTGACCCAATTGGACCAATCTTGCATTTGCGATGCTTTTTTCACTCAAGTTGACCACATAGGTCAAGGAACCCCGACTTCTCCTCTATCATTCAAGCCCCAGCCCCTAGCATAGTGCTCTGGAAGTAGCAGGTATTGGAATATATTGAAATATATGCTTGTAGACAAGAAGTTCTTGTTGTTGAATGACATGAACCAGGGCTGTGCTGAAGAAAACTAAGGCTACCTATCAAGCATGGGGTGATGGAAACTGGCATATACAGACCCCAGTCCCCTCCCCTGAATGGGATAACCGTGGGTGTGCCTGGCACCCTCTCCTGGCATTGCCCTGGGGTTGCCATCAGTACCCGTGGGGCAGCTGCCTTGAGCAGGCCTTCCTACTGTGCTTCCACTTCCTTCTTCCTCCACCACACAGCACCCCTTCACCTACATGACCTTCCTGCATTTGCATTCTTGTCCTAGGGTTGGGCTTTTGGGGCAGCCCCAAACCAAACAAGTGTCCTCTCCTTTAATTCTGAGTCTGTTCTTCATGTGGCTTTTCGACGTGGAATGAAACGCACGCAGTGACATGTTGTATTTACAAAATCAGAGCTCCCGGGTCCCAGAGAGATTCTTCTTCTGGGGAGGGAGGGTAACTCTGGAGGCGGATCCCTGCCTCTCTGGCCTTTCCCCATCTCCCCAGCACCCCTAAAGACACTTTTCAGATGGCCTCTCAAGGCTTTGCAGAGCGTTGCTTGTCTGGCCCCAGAGGAGCCAACAAAGATAAGATGTAAGATAGAAAGAAAAGGAGACGATGAATGACAAAAAAACCCCTAAACAACTTAAAACCTAAAGAAGAGGAAACAGCGTCCCTCCAGGGGCATAAAAAGCATGGACAAACACACAGTGCTGGCAAGGCAGTGCATTTATCTCTCAAGAACCATCTGGAGCTCTGAGTCTTTTTGCACATGACTAGCACACTTAGGAAAACAGTTGCTCGGTGGAGCATCCCAGCTGAGAATCGGCTCTGCTGCATAGACGGGACTAAGAAGGGCTCTGGGCTCCATTTGGGCTCCGGATTGCGGGTGGTGGCTACCACCAGGAAGGAGCACTGCAGACCCGGTGCCCCCTGTCGCCCACTCATTTTCCCCTGCAGGGAAAGCACTCCAGATGCACTCACGGAGGATGTGAGCTGAGAGTGAAGGGGGATGCAAGAGGACCCTGAACTTGCCTGGACACTCCCCATCGGGTCAGGAGAATAACTTCCCAAGAAGCCGACCAGGATGATCACCCTGGTTATCACTGAATCAATGAAATTGAAACTCCAGCACTAAGAAGTGACTGGTGGAAGTGAAGATCATATATCACACCTGTCCTCCCTCTGTCAATGCTGGTGTAGGTCAGAATCATGGCAGGTGTGACCAAACAGATTCCTGACCTTATCCTAAGTGCTTCCAGGTCAGAGGTTAAGGGTGGGGTAGAGAATAGGCCTCTCAATCAACAGGGCACAGTCATTCAGCTCCACCTGGAGGCTGGTCTGGACAAGAGCTTCTCTATCCTGGTAGCACACCGAGTTTCTAAGGAGCACAGCCAGCAACCCCCCGGGACTTGGGTACATTGGCATGTGCCATCCCTGGTCTTGAAGCATCAGAGACTCAGGCTGAGCCGGGCCACAGGGGTCACAGTCCCCCATCAGACATGCACACAGTAGCCCTTTGCATTGCATCCTCAACCTCTAGCCAATCTGGCTTAGAGAAAGACTTCTTGAGGACCTGCGCAGTTTCAATGTGTGGACATCGGGAGGACTGGCACGATGCTGGCACAGAGACAGCTTTGTAACAGCCCAGGCCACCCAGATACGGCTTCCTGCTACCTGCGTGTACAATTCCTACTGTGCACCATGGCCCCCACGGCCTACTGACCAGGCCAGCGTCTCTAGCCTTTGCCCTACCAATCCCTTCATCATTCACAGCCTGGCAGTGTATGGGCACTTCGCTCAAGTGTACCGCACCCTTCCCATCTCAGGCTTTCGCTCAGTGAGTTCCCTCTGCCAAGAAGGGGTTCTACCCGTGGGGCCTTGGGCACCTGGCTCCCGGGCTCCTCCCGAGGCTTGTCAGCCAGCCTGAGCCATGCTCTGCCCAGCCAGCATGGTCTCTCCCACACGCCCTGTTCCTTGTGGGCCCAGCACTTATCATCTGCTGCAATGTTTGGTCTATCCAGTTATTTATTGCAATATCTGTCTCCCCACTAGAATAAGAATAGAATATTGCTCATGCCATAAGCCCCGGCAGGGAACAGCGAAGTTTCTTTCTTCTGTCAATCAACAGTGCAACACGGCCAGCATGGAGCCATTCTTACACCAGGCACTGCTGCTCCAGGCTCGCTGAGAACTGGAACCATGTTGAGCTGGGCTTCCTCCTGGGAGAGGCCATGCTGGCCAGGCCAGCACTCTATTTCTGCGCCTCCCAGTGGGTCTGTCCTCCTGGGAAAGCAGTTGTTCTGCTTCACACGACAACACTTTCTGCATCTGCTCCCTGACATGGCTTAGTTTTTAGAAAGGATCCGGAGGCTCCCTGAACTGTGCATGTGCAAACTAAGATCCGGAAGGAGGCCACACTCCCACCACGGTCTTAACCAGCCTCTGACTTGAACTGCCACCATGTCAACTTAAACCCAGACCGGCAATCTATGAGATGCAAACCTGGCAGTTGAAATTCATGGACACTGGTGGCCCCTGCTGAAAACTCTGGGGTGCCATAGGGAGGAGGCAGGCCAAGTCCCTGCCCTGCCAAAGCCCTGGCATCTGCACCACACACCACTGCTGCCACCATGCCAAAGGTCTACTCCCAGAACTTCTTTTAGAACCTCTGCAGACTAATCTCAGCTCTTCAGAGCCCAAGCTTCTGGACAGCACGGCCACGTATGTGGCCACCTGACATCTCCAATCCCAAAGTACTGAAACACCAGTAAGAACACAGCAAACTAGATGGAAAAGTAACATAGAGGCCAACTAAACTCAACAAACAAAAGCTTTAACACAGAAAGCTCAACTCATGACAAACAGTTGAGTAAATCCTGACTCAGATTCACTTAACAAACCCCATGGTGAGATGTAACAATTTTCATAAATTTTCTTTTCCTGAAGTCACGGTCATGGTTCTTCCGTTGTTCATCGATTTGCTCGAGCGGGCCCAGTAACGTCTCCATTGGAGACTTTGTTGTTACTGTGTTTGGCATATCGAATACATCATGGGTAGCTTGCCAGGCTCTGCCGTGTGGGCGAGATACTCTCGGTAGCTTGCTGGGCTCTCCGAGAGGGGCGGAGGAATCGAACTCGGGTCGGCCATATTGGCCGCGTGCAAGGCAAATGCCCTACCGACAATTCCTTTAGCCATGTGGTTGTAACAAGCAATATAAAATAAATTATTGTGTACCTGCTAAGGGGGGGATTTGGGACAATGGGAACAGTGGTGAAGGGAAGGTCACTCACATGGTGACCGGTGTTGGAATATCAAAAGCCTATAACAACTGTATTATGAACAACATTTTAAACCACTGTATTTAAATAAAGAGGAAAAGTCAGAGCCTCAGCCAGCTAGCCGGCCACTCTGCACGAGAGCATGAACCTACCTCTGCCAAGGACAACGTCCTAACACAACACTTGCCTCATTTTCTACCACGTGAATTTCAAGCTATGCTATTATGCTATTCCTGTTTATTTATTTTGTAGCCTCATTTCATTATTGTTGTTGGCCAAAAACAATTTGCCTCTGACTTTGAGGAATTAATGCCAATCCCAGCAGGCCTCAAGACAGACGGAGTCAGCTTGTCTCATGGATGATTATCTTGTAACAAAAACATGCACGTGTCATTTGTCTTTGGTTTGACTTACCTTGCCAACATCTCTTGGGAAAGGTTGTCTCTGGTTCTCCGGAATTAAAATGGGAGATACCACAATGGACCTCTTTTGTCTCGGGACAGGAGAAGTTCTGGTGAATTTAAATATATCCTGAAAGAGAAGAAAACAAAATCAATGGGCTAAAATCCCCCACAGAAAAGACGTTCTCCGAGTGCTCTAAGCTGCGGCAGTGCTGTTGTGAAAGCATACAGCTGTTTGGACACTGTTAATTTTGTTCTATCAAAGCTCATTAGTGTTAGCAAGTACAATGCTAGACTCACACTAAAGCTGACATTGTGATTCACAATGACTATCATTAAGCTATTTAATCTGCCTTGGGCAGCATCCTATTCACAATGTCAGACTTGATTTATGTATTCTTCAGAGCTAGTGGCTTCCCATTCTCAACTCCCAGGTATGAAGAAGACTCACCTGGTCACGACCTACAGGATTCCTGGGATTTGAAAGTGACTCTGGAGCCTGTTTCCCAAGTCTCACACTCAAAAAGAATAGGGGACGAAGGGCACTTGCCAGGTTCTGCATAGTCAGGCATTGGGGACAGCCAGCCCCTGCTTCTTGAGACTCTAGACTAAAAGCTGGAGGTTCTCAGTGGGCAAGCCCCCATGCAGCCTGTGTGTTCCAAACTGCAGCTGTGGTGCCCTGTTGGTTTTCTTCTGTTTGTTTTTGTTTTGGGGCTGCACCCAGCAGTGCTCAGCGTTCCTCCTGGCTCCGTGCTCAGGGATCCTCAGGGTGGTGTTCGAGGGCCCATATGAGGTGCTGGGGATCAAGGCTGGGTCAGATGTGTGCATGAGAAGCAGCCTACCCACTCTTGCTATAAATCTAGCTCATTTGGAACCTGACTGGAAAAGGGCTGAGAGTTAAGGAAAAGGAAACGCTTCAAGGTACCTGTTTCACTTCTCATGAAAAGTAGGAACACAAGAGCCCAAACATTCTGAAGAGCAAATGATGCTCTTCGAGGAGCTGGAAGCTTCGAGAAGTCCTCTTTCCAAAAGGCATAAGAGAGGGCTAGTGGGGAGTCCTAGGGTCACTAGCACGAAACGGAGTCCTTCTCTTTGTACTGATGGGGACTGATGAGAACTGACACAACCCCAGTCTGCAGCCAGGCACAGTGTCCCCATGCGAGCATGGCCGACTTGTGTCTGTCTCATGAGCAGGATGGCAGAAAGCGCCTCTGACTTTCGATAATGGGCTCTTGTCAGAACCTTGTGGCAAATCGTAGCTGGGTACCATCACTGGCTCCATGAGCACACACATGAGACATGCACAGACGTGATTGCACCAGGGCTTGGTTCTAAAGGAAAACTGTGTAAGAACAGTGTAAGACGAAGCAAGACCAGTTAAAGCTGTGGGTTTTTCTTCAGACTCTTTAGCTAGTGGAGAGGTATAGACTAGCTGAAAGTCACAGGGCAATAATTATCTACCGAGAACCTTTCACAGGCAGCAAAGACAGCCCCTCATTTTGTGTTTTCCAGCACTACAATTTTCAATAAATCTCTCCAATTCAGCTTGGTCCTCCTTAACCAAGGAGGAATATCAAGCTTAGAGAGGCTGTGTAAAATATTCTAATTCTATCTAAGATGGCAGAGAGAATATATAGAATAAAAGGTGTTGGGAAATATAGGCTATTATATTGAGTGTCTTCATTTTTTATATCAATTACATAAAACAGAGAAGAATAATATTCAAAATCCCAATGGTCAAATTTAAGTAATAAACTATTTGGTCTCTAGGAAGACGAAAACTCAAATGTAGGCAACAAGAGCAAACTGGAGTGAATATAAATATGAAAAAGACAGAGAAGGAAAAGTCAGAGAGGCCGAGACAGTACCAATAAGACCAACAACACAAACAACAAAACCTAACCAACCAACCAGATGAAATAGTGTTGCCCGCAGCCAGCCAATCTGAAGAGCCGAGAGTGGGGCACGGTGCAGATCGGGGAAGGTGGTGATAAACAGAGTGGGTTATATTTCTAACACACTGATGAGTAATGTCAACGAGGGTTCTGTTGGTTTATTAGAGGATGGCAAAAGAATAGAAATTATGCAAAATATGGGCAATGTATGAATCTCATTTACAGCCCCCAAAATCTTGAGGCTCAGATGAGAGAACGTCGCGAAGAAGTACTTTGAGAAGATTTAAGATCCTATGCAAATGCAAGGGGTTGGTGATTCTGCTTTATAATGGAGCGAACAGGGTCCCCAGTTCATAGCGACAATATATGTGTAAATGAATCCGAAGTAATGAGAAAGCACACTGTATCGTCAATAACAAACTTCCCATTGTTCCAACAAAGGGCTTATGTTTTCAAGCCTGGGAGTGGGTCCGAGATTGTCCCCGTGGGCTTGGGAGCCCCCTGGTACCATTTCTACCTCATGTCTCACCCCCTAGCTGGTTAGCTAGTCAACCCTGCGTTGGTCAGACCATTTTGCCAATCATCACAGTATCCCAGGAGTTTCTCAATAAGGACAAATGGGTTCACCTCGGTCTAAAGTGCCTAAGAAAAGGGGGCAGAAGGCTCTGGTTCTCAGGAGGGAAAGAGCACTTGCGAGGGAGCAGTGGGATCATTACAGGAAGGACCAGGGTGAGGGCAGCTCCTTCCCCAATTCAACTGTTTGCCCACTAAGGGAGGAGAGTCAAAGGGTGTTTGTTCCGACTGTCTCCGTGTCCGTGTCTCTCCTTGTCTTTACCTGTGACGTTTGTGTCTCTGCCTGCCGGTGTGGAGAGCCGGCGCGGTCTCTCCGTGGGCTGCTGGGTTTTGAGCTTGGGTCAGGTCTATGCTGAGGAGTTTGGCTCTACGCTCTACAGCCAAGTGCTTCTGTATGCCTGGGACCAGGGGGAGCCGAGGGATCTGATTGAGGACCATCCCCGAGAGGCATATCTGGACACGTGTGCAACTATGCTTGCGTGTAACTCTGTGGGTCTGTCTGTATCTGTCAATCCATTGCGTGAAGTCTCTGGACATACCAGACTGTGGCCATAACTTCAAGGAGAGTCAAGACAGAAGCAGCCGAGACCAAAGGAAGGTGATTGATTACAGAGGTCCTTGTCCCCAGAGAACAGAGGAGTGGCTGGGGCTGAGGGGGCTGTGAACTGTGTCTGGTCACGCACTGCGTCTGGCCACGCGCTGGGCTCCAAACTGAGACAGGAAGTTGGGCTGCAAGTGCTGTGTGCCCTGCAGGAGATGGCGGCAGAGGAAAGCGGGTCTGAGGGATGCAGACACATCCTTAAGGGGTGGGGTGGGGGAAGAGGAGAGGAAGCCTCATACTTCTGAGGAACTGGGGCAGTGGGTGGGGGACAGCAGGTCCCTCCCAGGGTGCCCCCCCCTTGCCAACAAGGCTATGCCTTGGCCCTGGTTACTCAAGTGTCCCTGGGGAATTGGGCTCTAACCAGGGTGGGACCAGGAGCAAACAGCCTCTGGTGGAACCAGGCTGCCCCCCTCAGAGCTGGAGGGCAGCGCTGAATTGTTTGCAAATGTCTGCAAATGAGTGGAACTGCAGAAATCAATCTCCAATTTATTCCATCCTTGCAGCGGATCTCCCTGTGCTCAGGTTGCTGGGGGGGGGGGAGGGGGCGACGAGCGGGCTCACCCCCCTTCTCATTCTGGATGCAATCAACAGCCGCTTCAGCCAGCCTTACCCGGGGCGAGATTTCACGTCTGCGTTATTACCTCCTGGGGTGGAAGTTTGTCTGCTTGAGGTAGAAACCATCCACGCACCGCAAACCCGCAGCAGCAAATTGAGGAGGTTAGAGAGCCGACGGCCCACGCTGCCTGCGTTCCCCACCACAGATCCCCCCCAGTATTAGCGGGGCCAAATGTCAGCGAGCAGGGCACCTGCTGTCGAGTTACAGGGCAGAGTTATGCCAACTATAAAGCGGGTGAGGTGGAAATTGCCTTCCACACGTCAGCCTGTAGCAAGGCCAGGGCTGTGCTGGGCTCATTCCAGGGGGCAGACAGGGAGTGCCTGGCCAAAGGGGGCCCTGCCAGCCGTAGGAGCTTGTCAGAGGTGAACTCCAAGCGACTCCCCCCCTGTCAGGTACAGCCATGCGGTGGGCATGGCTGCAGGTATTTTTGCCTTTCCCTGCACTTATTATTTATTTTATTATTATTATTTTGCTTTTTGGTCACACCCAGATATACACAGGGGTTACTCCTGGCTCTGCACTCAGAAATCACTCCTGGTGGTGCTCAGGGGACCCTATGGGATGCTGGGAATCGAACCCGGGTGGGCCGTGTGCAAGGCAAATGCCTTACCCCCTGTGCTATTGCTCCAGCCCCCTCCCTCCATTTTGGACACACAGCCCAGCCTCCATTACCTAATTCTTTCAAGGACATCCTGGCTATCCCAAACACTGTAGGCCAGTAGTCCACTAGCCTCTTCCAAACAAAATTCTCCCCAAACTCACCAAAATAACAGCGAACGCAAGAATCCGAACAAGCCTAAGGTAAAAGAGCCCATCCCCTGTGGCTGCATTAGAGGCCCCCATAAGCAGAGGAGCACCAGAGAGGGAGTATTCTTAAAGGGGAAAAAGGGAGACCACCAGCGATCGAGCCCATCTAGAATCCTCCCTTGCAAAGAGAGGGGGTCACTGATAGTGAACGGAAGGGTCCCACCTCCATCCTCCATAGACCACAGCAACAGGAAGAAACAGTGCGGATTTCCACCCCCCCTCCCCCCCGCCCGCCACGAGGTGTGGATGAAGAAAAGAGCCCTGAAGCCTCAACAGGGAATTCCCACAAATATAATCTCTCCAATACAGAATTCAGAGATAAAATGTTGAGGATGTTCAATGAGCTCAAAGAAACGGTGGAACTGGCATCCAGTAAATTAAAGGAAGATATGAAAGAAACAGTAGAATGGACAGCCAAGAAAATACAGGAAGAAATGAGAGCAGAACTAAGAAAGCTTCAAAGGGGGTACACAGGGCCGATGGTCCCTTGGCCGGACGAGGCCCAGTTGCATGCAGCTGAGCTTACTGTGTCCCTGCAGAAGTCGATGCAATTCAGAGTGCTCCAGTGCTGTGGGAAGGTGGGTGCAGTCATGAAAGCCACCCTTGGCCACTCAACCCGGGAATGAGACCAGGAGTGG